CTTCAGCGTTACATGATCTAAAATAGTAATTGGACAAGCATATTCCACGTTAGTGAAGGAATTATTATCGAAGGAAATGACAAGAATAACACAAAAAACTGATATGTAGTAAGTAGAGAAGTTAGACAACAACATAACTTCATACCGCAAAAAATTGTACAGTAATATACCAACCGTATTTCTAGAAGCTTTTTTTCTGTTTTCACAATAATTTGACCTCTTGTATTTATATACTCTTAGATTTATTATAATATAATATAATATGTTATAGCCTTATCAGCCTCCCAATAGGTAGTCATTATTATTGGGACGAACACTTTGTTTTCCAAACCAAAGTGGGTAGGGGTGTGCCCGCTGAGGCAAAAGGAGAAGTATTCATCAACAATCCTAAGCTCAATTCTGTCACCAGGCTTCCGCGTCAAACACAACAGCAGTAACAGCAAAACAACAATTTTGGTGTCCGTGCCGTTTAAATTCGAGTTAGAAAGCGAAGAAAACCTAGGGATGTAAATGAAAAAATCTAAATCATCATGTATACATCCAATTCATATTGTTTAATACCTATGCTTCCTTTCAAAGCATCTGTACCTACCTTTATCCAAAAAATCAGAATCTCCTGTATCCACACCAACTTCATGAAATCTGAAATTCAGAGAAGGAATGGTATTTAGGTAAACCCATCCCTGTGCTGCAATAAATAAATCATCTGGCACGCGTCTTTGATGACACGGACCTTGTAAAATGGAGGTCATTTAATTTTATGAGGTATATCCTAAAAGAATAGACTATATAGCTGGCAAATAGAAATGGCACACCTAACTTTTAAGATCGTAATAGGATTACGATAAAAGTATGAACTTCTGTCAAGTAATGTGTATTGGCCTTCTATTTATGAATAAACATCTGCATAGAAGTGAGGTAAATAGGGGCTAAGCGAAGCGGCATTGATAATAGGGCCAGATCAAGTAGAAAAGAAAACAAGAGAAAAGTAATAAATCTCATACTTTTATGGTAATCCTGTTGCGGCTTAAAATGTTAGGTTCACTACATCTACTTGCCAAAACTACACTATTTTCTTCAAAAATTTACCACATAGTCTGCGTCAACATTTTTATTAGAAATGTTTTAACAAAACTATATAGCCAGATTTGATTCTAGTTATAATAGGTCTTGTTGTTTCAAAACATAACGTACCGCGCTTCTGTAAATAATTTTGATTTTGTTTTTCATTGAGTAGTGCAAAAGCAAATGAAAATTTAGAAAAATATATTTATTTACTTCAATATCATTTAAATATGGAATAACAATAGAACCAATTACAGATCAACTAAAAAGATATTAATTTTCAACAGAACTACAAACAACAGCTATATTTACTGTGTTTCCTATACAGGTAATGTTCAGTTGGGTATAAACAAATATATAGATTACAGGCAGTTCCCTAAAGATGTCAAACGAATTTTGATGGAAGTTGTATTAAGAACACATATTTTAAATGGATGAATGTTTTTCAATTTGTATACGAGGTGTCAGTAGATAGAAGCATTGAAACGAACGAGACGACAGTCTAGGGACCAAAAATAAAAAAATCTGTGCAGAAGAAAGTAACCCCTAAATCCTTAAAAAACTTAACCCTGCCTAACTCGTTGTTAATCACATAATTGTACAGAACCTCTGTAGATTTATTTAAGAAAGACAATTTATTACGTGGTATTTACTAAAATTAACAGGTGTACTGCACCGAACGAACATTTGAAGATCATTTTGCAAAATCAAACAATCTTCAAACGGAAGCAATCCTTCTAAAAAGTTTTGGGTTTTCAGCATATAACAAAACATTCGAATCGATCTTTTTGACAATGTCGTTTATAAACATGACAATTAGACGAGGCCCCAATACAGAGCCCTGAGGTACTCCTGACGGCACATACATCTTTGGATTTAGATCTACAGTATTTAACACATTCCCAATGGAATTTCTGTTACCACTCTTAAAAATAGGAGTGATAGTGGATAGTTTCCACACATCAGAGAACGTGGACGTTGTCAAAATTAAACTGAACAAAATCGTAAGAGGAGTGAAGGATACATGTGCACAATCTATCAATAAAAAAGCCGGAATACTGTGTCTAACCGGAAATAAAGGTGGACTTGATTTTTTTGAGCGCAATTAGAACATCAGATTCACTAGTGGCTGTTAAATTAACCGTTACATTGGAGTGTTCGTAAAAAAAAACTCTCAAATTATTAATAATGTGATTGATGTGTTGCTGCAGAATTGTTCTGAGAGCACAGATTTTTGACGCTTTAAAACACCACGTTGGTTACTCAACTCACAGAGATGTTCAAATATTATAGTGACTATTTTTGGTTCCTGCGTCAATTTGTCATCGCAAAAGTAACTTATAATCTGTTTGACTTTTACAGAGTATTGAAAGTCGGCTTATCAATACCAACACATAGAATGTGATAATTACCACCACATTTTTTCCTACATACAACGTAATCCTCAGTGCCTTTAATAGCCTTGTTGCACTTTCTACATTTGACAGCCACAAAAAAGAGCAAAAACCCAACAGCGATAAGAAGCTATCAGGGGAAGCAAAAACATAGAAAATCAATCCGATTTCAGCTAAACTACCAAAATCGGCCAAAAAAACTATGCTAATGTATGTAAGTACTTATCTTAGATAAGATATAGAAGCCACAAAATCTCGAAGAATCTAAAAAAAAACCTCAAAAGAATGATAAAATTCAAGACGTTACCAAAAAGTTGATGAACATGTTTCCTTTGTTAAGATCAACAACTGCGGACGTATAAATACTTTAAAACCTTTAAATCCCCAGTTATTTTTTGTTTTAAAAACATAATATTCAATAAGAGCCAATACAAACCAATTAAGGTTTTACTGGAATAAATATGAGGTGTTTATAGATCCGATTTTTCTAAGTGGAGATTAAGATTAACAAATAAAAGTTGAGGTCTTCCTCCAAGTTTCTTAAAATTAGTTTTTACTAAAAGTGGAATTACAAATTCAGCACTTTTTAAAACATAGCTTTACTTTTTCTGTCTGAAGACGACTATAGTGGTTCTCAAAATGTGTACCAGTTTTGACAAAAAAAAATATTTTTAAAAAACGTGGAGGCAAACTCGACTTTTACTCGATAAAGGGGGTTTTACCGGATTTATTTTTTGATTTTGGTAACATCGTTCAAAAAATATTAAAAAAATCGTATTTGTTTTCGAAAATATCCAGTGATATTATTGTTCCACAGATGCGTGTAATTATTAATAATAGCATCATTGAACCACTTCATATTAATTACTGTGGTTCTATTCTCTATAAACAAATAAAATAAAAGCAAAACTATAAAACAGACATGCGAATTATTCTGAACTGTAATAATACAAATAAATACTGTTATGATAAAAAATTTATAAAAAGCGCAGTATTTGTTGAAAAAAAAAAAAAAATGCAAAAACATGTCAAGTTTTTTATTTTACTCTCCATCCTTTGAACAATCAGTAGAGAGAAATTACTCAAAGTCTGTTCTACGTATGGTTTTATTTTAATTTCCGAAACATTTTTCGAGAGCTCACTGCTCTCATCTTCAGTCGAAAATTTCTTTGAAAAGCAATTTTTTCGGAAAAAGTAAATTAAAAAATATATGGTTTTGATTATGGTTATAGGCTATATAGTAAGTTCGCGAAATTATTAGGACTGAAAAATATTCAATATAATTTAAACATACTGACATTTATCTCCATAATGTAGCTTGGCTTTGAATGCGGTAACACATTGAATTGCGGGGTTCCAATTCCTGGAGCCACTTTAACACCACACTTTTTTTCATGAAGACCTCCTACGCGTTGAAGTTGCTTCCCAGTATTCGAAACTTGACATTTTCTCCACTTAAAACCGCTTTATCACATTATAGAAGACTAGTAGCACTTTTCTTACTTAAACCCCGTTGAAACATATTTAAAACGATTAAAAATTTCTTCACATACTTGTAACTTACAACCTCGAGGCACCCAACACCACAAGTTAAATCTGCCAGTGCAACTGCCGGCACATAACCTTAAAATTCGAAGCGACCAATCACATAATAGTGGATATGGAGGGGCAAACATGGAAGAACAAACAGGTAGGCTCATCGCGCATTCTACTCCCCACTCCAAGCTTCGTCATGACGTCATTATCACGTGCTCAATTTATAAATTACATAACTAATAAAAACTAAAATAAGGATAGGTACCTATTATTTACGGCGGTTGTGAACGTTTTTCCATGAAGATCTTACCTTTACTCAAAGCTTCGAAACACTCCATAAAAGAGATTTTGGTGCTTAAAACGTGCTTAAAACCGTCTTATTCAAAGGCTTTGTATTACTAGGCGAAACGCAGTGCTCATTTGTTTGTGACCCATATATCAGCTGTTTTTTATTAGGATGTGGTGACTGCTGGCGAGAAGCCCGGGGACGTTTAACAGATACTAGGAAGCTAGGCGGATATCAGCAAACTTGTTACTTTTAAAAACATGGAAAGCAGAAAGACACTGAAGTCGCTAAAGTTGAATTTGATTCCCTAGTAAAATAAGACTGTTTTAGGCAATCGAAATGTCAATTGTGGGGTATTTCAAAGCTTCTGGGACATGGAAAAGATCTTCATGGAAAAATGTTCACAACTGTAAACAATGTTCTTATTTTTTAGTATTTTACAACATGAGGTTGTGATAATACTACAATAACGGCATACCTGTTTGTTGTTTAATGCTTGCCCTTCCATGTTCACTATTCTGTGATTGGGTTCGAATTTTAAGGTTAAGTACCGGAAATTGCAGTGGAGGTTCTAAACTGTGCGGTTAGGTGCATCAAAGTTGCACGTGGTTGAAAAAATTTTTAATCGCTCCCGCTTTAAACTGTGCTCCAACGAGGTTTGGGTAAGAAACGTGTCAGAATCCTTCTATATTGTGATACAGGGGTTTTAGGTGGCCAAAATGTCAAGTTTGGTATACCGTGAAGCAATCGAAACAGATCGGAGGTCTTCATGGAAAAACCTGCACAACTGTATACGATGCCCTTATTTTACAACATCTCTTTTTCTTATGACAAACCACGTAAGACGACACAATTCCTCTATGGAAAAATTTACTTGCGACAGCGTCAAAATTGAAGCGTATTATTGCAAAGACTGTGATTTTAGAACGGAACTAACAGTTTTATTTAAACAACACATTGATAAATATCATGGTCCTAAGAGAGAATCTAGAGACGATGTATCAAGTGAGGACTTCGTCATATAAAACCATGTTTGCGAAAAATGCGATTTTGAAACAAGTTTTTCGTTAAAGTGGCTTCAGCATATTTTAGGACGTACCGGAAAGAAAGAAAGTATTCAAAGTGTGACTTGTCCGAAACCGAATGCCATATACAGTTCCAATTTCAAGCAAACTGACGAAATATGTTGGTATTACTGTGCTGAATGTACCTACAAAGCTAAATTCAAACACAATTTAATACGTCATATAGGAAATCGGCATTTGAACAAGCGGTATGCATGCGACAAGTGTCCATTCCAAAGTAGATTTGCAGCAGCTTTAAAAAGCCACGTAAATCGAATCCACTCAGATAAACAAAATGTTGAATGGCACAAGTGCGAAAAATGTTTATTCAAGACCAAAACAAAAGGTAGTTTAACTAGGCATATCAAGACTTTACATTTGAACGACGAAGATATTAAATGGTATAAGTGTACTGAGTGTTCTTTCAAAGCTAAATATGAAACGTCTTTAAAGCTACACGTAACTGCAAAACATCTAGATGATGAAAAGGTTAAGTGGTACGAGTGTAAGGAGTGTTCATACAAAAGTAAAACAAAATCAAATTTAAAAAGGCATGTAGAAATCCATTTGGAGATCAAATTGTATCAGTGCGAATGTTGTCCCTATAAGACGAAACGTAATGGTGATTTAAAGCGCCATATAAATAACCGTCATTTGGATGGAATTGACGCAAAATGGTATAAGTGCGAACACTGTTCTTATGAAAGTAAAAATGGACCATCCTTTTATAAACACAGAAAAAAACACGTGTCGGATTTGGTTGAGGTTTAATTAGGTGTGGTAGCATGACCTCAAATGTATATAAGTAGAGTTTTTGTTTAGCTAATTGATTTTTAGCATTTGTGTCAGTACTCTATAATGTTTTATATTTTGTGACCATGTTTTCATTAAGACTATGAATTTTAAAAATTGTATTAACGTCTTATTTGTTTATATTATACAAATTAAATAAATGTAACGAGCATACTTGCGCATTGTCTCTCTGTTGAGCTTCTACGCCAATTGTTCTGTCATTGGTTAATTAATTTTTTTTTTATATTATGTTAATTTCAACATGAATGTCAATAGACAACAGTTTAACTTTAAAAAAGCCAACTATCCGTTACTATTCAAACTACTTTCTTCTATAGACTGGTCTCCTCTAGATAATTTGAAAGATATCAGTGATGCATGCTCTTTTTTTAGAGTATCTCGAATTATATCTTCGCTGTTGCTATTTCAAAATTTATAATCAACTGTTACACTAATCGCAGACATCCTCCTAGGTAATAAATATTTTAAAGTTAAAGTCATATAATTTTATAGGTAAGTATCACTTGATTATAAAAATTTTTTAATTCCCAGATATGTGGAAAAAAGCTAACGAACGAACAACCCGAACTCTGAGATAACCTCAATTAAATATGATGCGATGGTTTCAAATTATAAAAAAACAGTCATGTTAATCATATGTATGTATGTATGTATGTATGTATTACAGTTACGTACATTTTAATAAACAATATATTGTTGGTAACTACACAAATAATTCTATAAAAATAACACGATAAGTAAGCCGATGATTTTCTACACCTACAATTAATTATTATTAACCAATGGAACTGGTAATGGGACAAAGTGATTAGTTTCCTCTGATTTTAGGTTGCTTCTGTAGTTCCCTATTATGGAATTTCAATGTATAAAATATACTTAATCGCACAAATAATGACAAAAGGTAATCATGGGGGAGATTACTGCATGGATGCTTGTATGTTATTAAGATCAGCTGATTTTTAAGTTGTCTACCAACGTGAAGCAAGAGTGTATTATGTTCTAATGAAGTAATGAAAGCATTTTCTAATTATTCAGTGTAATATGCAAATACTTTAATTAAATCAATCGACATCATTAATCATCATTTTGTCGAAAAATACAAATGCAATATATTTTTAGTTTTTATAATTTTTTAAGAGAAAATTAATGAATTCGTTCGGTATTTAATTGATATAAATTGACAACGCAGAGTTAAAACTCCATCAGTGCGTCCCTGGGTCGATGCACTCTTTTTCAGTTTATTTTCTACGCTATAGCCCTAAAATTTTCTACACAACTAACGCAAATCAACTAGCAAAGCAAAATTCTGCTAGACAAAACGTTGTTTTCAAAAGGTAAAAAGGGTAAGATAAAGTTAATATCGGATCCGATAATACTGTTACGAAATAAACCCATACGCCTCCCCGGCAGTGGCGGCTCCTCGGGGTGGGCAGGGTGGGCAATGCCCACCCTATTTGATTGTTTATGATACGAAGTAAAATATTGATTTTTTTTCTTTTTTAAAATATTTTATATGTATACACAAATAATTATCGTCGTAAACATCATTTAAGCCAACGGATTTTCTTCATTACATCGGGCAGTTTCCGCAACTGAGAAATTGCAGTAGTAAAAAAGTGCGTCAGATCTCGGCGTTATACGGTTCATGTGAGGATGGGCTAGTCCACCCTGGTCCACCCTCTTGATTATAAGCAACGACATACGTTCGGTTTTCTATGTACGTAATTGAGAGTAAAGAATTCGAAACGCGCGTCTTTGCATATCCGTGTTTTCTCGCTTCAAGCGGGGCAGGACGCCCTGGCCTTAACGTATATCTCAAACGCTGCAGAATCGGATCTCTCGATATTCGCTTCAAGGATTCAATAAATTAATTTCGATTTTATTACTTCTTCTGTATTGTAAAAGTATAGAGGTAATTATTTTTATTACTCTATTGAAATATGGGTAAGGTAGTAAGGAAAATAATGTTATGCGAAAATTCTTGAATACTATTGTTATAGAAATGAGCAACACCATAATAATTAATAAATACTTTTTCATATCAAATGAAAATTTGTAATAACCATGTTCTTGTATTATGACACCGTGTAAACTTTATAATGAATTATAAATTTAAAAATCCGAATAACCAATGATGAGAATAAGTAATACATTTATTATTGCAGTACGTATCTGACATGTGTATTTTTTTATTATTACATATGCATATTTGTTTCATAAATATAACTGTAGCAGAGTCAACAAAAGTTAAATATATGCTTAATTTATTATTTAATTCAGACTGTCCGCACAGGTTTGTTACGCGTTCTCTCTAGCATGGGTGGGCAAATCCACCCTGAAAATCGGAAGCACTCGGCATGGTTCGTCCTCGCCGGAGACACGACTCAATTGCAGTGATGGTATACCTAGGGAAATTTCCCTAAATCTAGGCAATTTCATGCTTGTTCAAGGAAAAAGGGATTTTTTATTAAAAACCAGAGTAATCTAGGGAACTTCGAAAGGTTAATGATATTTGTTCAAATGTTAAGTCAATAGTTTCGTTATAAGTGCAACTTTGGATAAATATTTAAGTTTATAGATCTATGATTGTTTCAATTGTGTCGCCCTCTGGGAGCGTTTAAATTTGAATTAAACAAATTGGTACCTCAATTGGCGGTACCGTTTCTATCGACGCAAATTATTTTAAAATTACTTAATTAAAAATGGGTCTTTTCTCCAATTAAACGCGTCAACTCGAGATTATAAATAGAGCCCGAGGCAACTTTTGCGTCATTCTGAATAATAATTTTATTATCACTGCTATTGTTATTGTTGTCTGCAGTTAACCTTTTTTTCTTTTGTTATATGTAGTACTACTTATTTATATTCATTTTTAATTTTTTATGTTTTTTTGTATTAAATATACATAAACTAGTATGTTCTTTTTTTACTAAACTGAACTCAGACAACACACCATATATTTGATATAAATGTTTTGTGCTAACTGCTCTAAATATTTAAATACAGCGCCATCTGCCAAATATGACACCATTTAGGGAAATCTAGGGAAATTTTGACTCAGAATCTAGGGAAATATATTTTTTTTATATACCATCACTGCTCAATTGAATTCAGTCAGATCAGAAACTGCAATGTGGGTAGTGCATTTTTGTCTAATTATAAAATGTAGCTTATTCAAATTACCAAATAGTTAGGCGGGCACCTAAGTAGGTACTTTCTAGCAATTTTTTTTAATGGCAAATCCTACTGTAAGCTGCGCAAATAATATTAGAGAGGTGGTAAAGAAGGCATTAAAGATATTGAGTTTTTGTTTTTAATAAATAAATTCAGTAGTATGGAACTTGATATTTATGAATTATTTGTTTATAAATTAAGATCATGTCCCAAAATGAAACAATTGGTCATCACAAACTCTCGTGGCAGTAATAAAGGCCTTAATCAAAGTTCGGACAATAAATATTAGGTACCTATTGGTTGGTTGATCGGTAGTGAAACAACAAACAAAACTGTTGGAATTATCTGTTATTTAACATAAAATTAAATTACGAACACTTTAGAATTCCACAAGAAGAGCGATATAAAATATATCGCTACTGCTTTACAAAAACATGACCAATCTGAATAAACGAAAATTACTTGGAAAACGAAGTGAAACTATAGAAAATTCTCTTAAATTCGGCGTTTATTCGATATGATAATTTTCTTGACTACACAAAAACATACATTTCGGGGGCAAGATGAATCGCAAATTTCTCTTAAAGTAAATTCGATGATAAATTTAAAAAGTTTTTTGGAGGAGTCTTTGGTAATTAGTGGTCTTCAGAACGATTATTTTGGAATTATTTTTATTTTATTTGTTATTGTTAACTTTGTTAGTATTTTGAGAATTTATGTTTTGTTTGATTTGGCATTTTTAATTTTGCTTTTACAATAATTTTCCAAATTGCTGCTTTTTCTAATTGTAGCTTATCTCAAAGGTTTAAAATTTAATGTTTTCTCGTCATGTTATTTCAAAATCTTTACATGTTGGGATCATTATTTGAGTTTATAGTTCTATAAACTCCTAACAAATCTATTTATGTGCTGAACCTTTTTTTTTGCTCCTCTTTCCTCTTCTAGCAAGAGTCTTCGACGTTCTCGTTGGTTATATGTAATATACATAAAATATTTGTTATATTATATTGATTGACATGCAGCACCAAAACAAAAACACGTTCTCACAAAAATGATTAATTATATATATGTATATATTTTTTTTTCATACATGTCATAACCTACCTATAATGCTTTGCCCACCCATCTAAAATCACCACCAGCCGCCACTGCTCCCCGGTACGACGCTTATGGGTTCCCGAGCTTTCTTTTACGGCGATAATGACGCGTCGTGGATGACGTCACCCAGGCAGCGCTCAAATAAAGACAAGCCGCGAGCGGATTACCGGTTACCGGAAGTTTCGATTGCGGCGTCCAGAAAACGCTCGAAGCGGCGTTCGCTAAAGAAAGGCCTTGAAGCGGGAGTTGCGATGGATTCCAGAAAGATCTCGGTTGGAAACATCGAGAAGGGAATATGAGTTTAAATGGAGGTCACCTTCGGGAAGTAGATTCATTCAGAAGGGTCGAGTCTACCGAGTGAATAAATTCATTCAAGTTGCACCAAGAAGTTAATTTGTACATAATCGCTGTAATAGGTAGTCGTGCAATTCGAATTATTAAGAAATAAATTGTTGAGTTTTCCCCGCCAATTTCAATCACCCGTCCAAAGTAACAATACGAACAAAATGTCTCAACTCCTTCGAGGTGTTCGGATTTTTTGTGTTGACAAAATTCATTGTGAAAAATTATTATTTGCTAATGGTATGACAATCTTCATCGAAATAAAATCTATTCACTAGGTATATGTCGGGCACAAGGACCACGATAAGAGTATTATATTTGATAAACTAACAAAACTTAAATATAAAAATCTCCCAACCCGTCACACTACACTACGGTCGAGAAGGAATCTTCGGCGATTGTCCATATTTAATCACTTCATCGTCGAAATATCGGTCACTCCTAACTTTGAAAACCCAGATATGGCCGAAACTGCCGTCGTTAACTCCGTCACTCGGAGCAAATGGTTTAGTACAAAATTTTTGCAAATCTCTACAGCCACAACTGTAAATAATAATGTCCCGGTTTACAACGTGATGTCGTGATAATTCGACAATTGCGTCATAATCAAACCTGAAGTGGGGAAAAGAATGCACCATAAGCCTACCTGTTTGTTGTTCCATGTTTGCCTCTCTATGCCCACTATTCTATAATTGGTCGCTTCGAATTTTAAGGTTACGTACCGAAAAAAGCACCAAAGGTTTTAATTTGTTTAGTGCCTCAAAGTTGTTCGTGGCTGAAGAAATCTTTAATCGTTCCCGGTTTTAACTGTGCTCCAGCGAGGTTTGGGTAAGAAACGTGTCAAAATCATTGTACCTATATTGTGAAAAACGGTTTTAGGTGGTCAAAATGGCTAGTTTGAAATACTGTGAAGCAATCGCAACAGATGGGAGATCTTATTCATGGGAAAACCTGCACAACTGTATACGATGCCCCTATTTTACAACATCACTTTTTCTCATGACGAACCACGTAAGGCGACACCATTCCTCTGTGAAAAAATTTGCTTGCGACAACGCCAAAATTGAACTGTATTACTGCCAAGACTGCCGTTTTAAAACGAAACTAACAGTTTTATTCAAGCAACACCTTGATAGATATCATGACCTTAAAATGTCTGTAGACGATTTATCAAGTGAGAATTTCTGCATACAAAACTACGTTTGCGAAAAATGCGAATTTGAAACAAATTTCTCGTTAAAGTGGCTTCAGCATACTTCAACATGTACCGGAAACAAAGAAAATCTTTAAAGTGTGAGTTTTCTGAAACAAAATGCCACGTACTATTCTAATTTCAATCAAGTTGACGAAATAACTTGGTACTACTGCATGGAATGTTCCTACAAAACTAAATTCAGACATAACTTAAACCGTCATATCAAAAATCACGACAAAGACATTAAATGGTACCAATGCAATGAGTGTCCTTTCAAAACAAAGTATCAAACAAATTTAAAACTACATGTAACTGCAAAACATCTAGATGATGAAAGGATTAAGTGGTACGAGTGTAAAGAGTGTTCATACAAAAGTAAAACAAAACCAAATTTAAAAAGGCATGTAGAAGTCCATTTGGAGATCAAATTGTATCAGTGCGAATGTTGTCCCTATAAGACGAAACGTAATGGTTATTTAAAGCGCCATATAAATAACCGTCATTTGGATGGAATTGACGCAAAATGGTGTAAGTGCGAACACTGCTCTTATGAAAGTAAAAATGGACCATCTTTTTATAAACACAGAAAAAAACACGTGTCGGATTTAGTTAAGGTTTAATTAGGTGTAGCAGGAACTCAAATGTATATAAGTATAGTTTTTGTTTAGGTAGTAGCTTTTAGCATTTGTGTCAGTACTCTATAATGTTTTATATTTTGTGACTATGTTTTCATTAAGACTATGAATTTTAAAAAATGTATTAATGTCTTATTTGTTTATATTATACAAATTAAATAAATGTAACGAGCATACTTGCGCAGTGTTTCTCTATTAGGCTTCTACGCCTATTGTTCTGTCATTGGTTATTTAATTTTTTTTTTTATATTATGTTAATTTCAACATGAATGTCAATAGACAACCGTTTAACTTTAAAAAAGCCAAATATCCGTTACTATTCAAACTACTTTCTTCTACAGACTGGTCTCCTCTAGATAATTTGAAAGATATCAGTGATGCATGCTGTCTTTTTAGAGTATCTCGAATTATATATTCGCTGTCGCTATTTCAAAATTTATGGTCAACTCTAACACTAGTCGCAGACATCCTCCTAGGTAATAAATATTTTAGAGTTAAAATCATATAATTTTACAGGTATAACTTGATTATAAAAAATTTTTAATTCCCAGATATATGTGGAAAAAAGCTGACGAACGAACAACGCGAACTCTGAAATAACCTCAATTAAATATGATGCGATAGTTTCAAATTATAAAAAAACAGTCATGTTAATCATATGTATGTATGTATGTATGTATGTATGTATGTATGTATGTATGTATGTATGTATGTATGTATGTATGTATTTATGTATGTATTACAGTTACGTACATTTTAACAAACAATATATTGTTGGTAACTACACAAATAATTCTGTAAAAATAACACTGATAAGTAAACCGATGATTTTCTACACCTATAATTAATTATTATTAACCAATGGAACTGGTAATGGGACAAAATGAATAATTTCCTCTGTTTTTTAGGTTGCTTCTGTAGTTCCCTATTATGGAATTTCAATGTATAAAATATACTTAATCGCACAAATAATGACAAAAGGTAATGAGATTACTACATGGATGCTTGTATGTTATTAAGATCAGCTGATTTTTAAGTTGTCTACCAACGTGAAACAAGAGTGTATATGTTCAAATGAAGTAATGAAAGCATTTTCTAATTATTCAGTGTAATATGCAAATACTTCAATTAACCCAATCGACATCATTAATCATCATTTTGTCAAAAAATACAAATGCAACATATTTTTGGTTTTTATAATTTTTTAAGAGAAAATTAATGAATTCGTTCGGTATTTAATTTATATAAATTGGCAACGCAGAGTTAAAACTCCATCAGTGCGTCCCTGGGTCGACGCATTCTTTTTCAGTTTATTTTCTACGCTATAGCCATAAAATTTTCTGCACAACTAACGCAAATCAACTAGCAAAGCAAAATTCTGCTAGACAAAACGTTGTTTTCAAAAGGTAAAAAGGGTAAGATAAAGTTAATACAGGATCCGATAATATTGTTACGAAATAAACCCATACGCCGCCCCGGTACGACGAGCTTTCTTTTACGGTGATAATGACGCATCGTGGATGACGTCACCCAGGCAGCGCTCGCATAAAGACAAGCCGCGAGCGGATTACCGGTTACCGGAAGTTTCGATTGCGGCGTCCAGAAAACGCTCGAAGCGGCGTTCGCTAAAGAAAGGTCTGGAAGCGGGAGTTGCGATGGATTGCAGAAAGATCTCGGTTGGAAACATCGAGAAGGGAATATGAGTTTAAATGGAGGCCATCTTCGGGAAGTAGATTCATTCAGAAGGGTCGATTCTACCGAGTGAACAAATTCATTCAAGTTGTACCACGAAGTTAATTTGTACATAATCGCTGTAATAAGTAGTAGTGTAATTCGAGTTATTAAGAAATAAATTGCTGAGTTTTTCCACGCCAATTTCAATCACCCGTCCAAAGTAACAATATGAACAAAATGGCTCAACTCCTTCGAGGTGTTCGGATTTTTTGTGTTGACAAAATTCATTGTGAAAAATTATTATTTGCTAATGGTATGAAAATCTTCATCGAAATAAAATCTATTCACTAGGTATATGTCGGACACAAGGACCACGATAAGAGTATTATAATTGATAAACTAACAAAAGTTAAATATAAAAATCTCCCAACCCGTCACACTACACTACGGTCGAGAAGGAATCTTCAGCGATTGTCTGAAGAATTCAGAAAATGCGTCCATATTTAATCACTTCATCGTCGAAAGCAAGTATCGGTCACTCCTAACTTTGAAAACCCAGATATGACCGAAACTGCCGTCGTTAACTCCGTCACTCGGAGCAAATGGTTTAGTACGAAATTTTTGCAAATCTCTACAGCCACAACTGTAAACAATAATGTCCCGGTTTACAAAGTGATGTCGTGATAATTCGACAATTACGTCATAATCAAAACTGAAGTGGGGAAAAGAATGCACCATAAGCCTACCTCTTTGTTGTTCCATGTTTGCCTCTCTATGCCCACTATTCTATAATTGGTCGCTTCGAATTTTAAGGTTACGTACCGAAAAAAGCACCAAAGGTTTTAATTTGTTTAGTGCCTCAAAGTTGTTCGTGGCTGAAGAAATCTTTAATCGTTCCCGGTTTTAACTGTGCTCCAGCGAGGTTTGGGTAAGAAACGTGTCAAAATCATTGTATATTGTGAAAAACGGTTTTAGGTGGTCAAAATGGCTAGTTTGAAATACTGTGAAGCAATCGCAACAGATGGGAGATCTTATTCATGGGAAAACCTGCACAACTGTATACGATGCCCCTATTTTACAACATCACTTTTTCTCATGACGAACCACGTAAGGCGACACCATTCCTCTGTGAAAAAATTTGCTTGCGACAACGCCAAAATTGAAGTGTATTACTGCCAAGACTGCCGTTTTAAAACGAAACTAACAGTTTTATTCAAGCAACACCTTGATAGATATCATGGCCTTAAAATGTCTATAGACGATTTATCAAGTGAGAATTTCTGCATACAAAACTACGTTTGCGAAAAATGCGAATTTGAAACAAATTTTTCGTTAAAGTGGCTTCAGCATACTTCAACATGTACCGGAAACAAAGAAAATCTTTAAAGTGTGAGTTTTCTGAAACAAAATGGCACGTACAGTTCTAATTTCAATCAAGTTGACGAAATAGCTTTGTACTACTGCACGGAATGTTCCTACAAAACTAAATTCAGACATAACTTAAACCGTCATATCAAAAATCACGACGAAGACATTAAATGGTACCAATGCAATGAGTGTCCTTTCAAAACAAAGTATCAAACAAATTTAAAGCTACATGTAGCTGCAAAACTCTAGATGATGAAAGGATTAAGTGGTACGAGTGTAAGGAGTGTTCATACAAAAGTAAAACAAAACCAAATTTAAAAAGGCATTTAGAAGTCCATTTGGAGATCAAATTGTATCAGTGCGAATGTTGTCCCTATAAGACGAAACGTAATGATGATTTAAAGCGCCATATAAATAACCGTCATTTGGATGGAATTGACACAAAATGGTATAAGTGCGAACACTGTTCTAATGAATGTAAAACTGGACCATCTTTTTATAAACACAGAAAAAAACACATGTCGGATTTAGTTAAGGTTTAATTAGGTGTGGTAGCAGGAACTCAAATGTATATAAGTATAGTTTTGTTTAGCTAGTAGCTTTTTAGGATTTGTGTCAGTACTCTATAATGTTTTATATTTTGTGACCATGTTTCATTAAAACTATGAATTTTAAAAAATGTATTAATGTTTTATTTCTTTATATTATACAAATTAAATAAATGTAACGAGCATACTTGCGCAGTGTTTCTCTATTGGGCTTCTACGCCTATTGTTCTGTCATTGGTTACTTAATTCTTTTTTATATTATGTTAATTTCAACATGAATGTCAATAGACAACAGTTTAACTTCAAAAAAGCCAAATATCCGTTACTATTCAAACTACTTTCTTCTATAGACTGGTCTCCTCTAGATAATTTGAAAGATATCAGTGATGCATGCTCTTTTTTTAGAGTATCTCGAATTATATCTTCGCTGTTGCTATTTCAAAATTTATGGTCAACTCTAACACTAGTCGCAGACATCCTCCTAGGTAATAAATATTTTAGAGTTAAAATCATATAATTTTATACGTATAACTTCATTATAAAAAATTTTTAATTCCCAGATATGTGGAAAACAGCTGACGAACGAACAACGCGAACTCTGAAATAACCTCAATTAAATATGATGCGATAGTTTCAAATTATAAAAAAACAGTCATGTTAATCATATGTATGTATGTATGTATGTATGTATGTATGTATGTATGTATGTATGTATGTATGTATGTACGTACATTTTAACAAACAATATATTGTTGGTAACTACACAAATAATTCTATAAAAATAACACTGATAAGTAAACCGATGATTTTCTACACCTATAATTAATTATTATTATTAACCAATGGAACTGGTAATGGGACAAAATGATTAATTTCCTCTGTTTTTTAGGTTGCTTCTGTAGTTCCCTATTATGGAATTTCAATGTATAAAATATACCTACTTAATCGCACAAATAATGACAAAAGGTAATTATGGCGGAGATTACTACATGGATGCTTGCATGTTATTAAGACCAGCTGATTTTTAAGTTGTCTACCAACGTGAAACAAGAGTGTATTATGTTCAAATGAAGTAATGAAAGCATTTTTTAATTATTCAGTGTAATATGCAAATACTTTAATTAACCCAATCGACATCATTAATCATCATTTTGTCAAAAAATACAAATGCAACATATTTTTGGTTTTTATAATTTTTTAAGAGAAAATTAATGAATTCGTTCGGTATTTAATTTATATAAATTGGCAACGCAGAGTGAAAACTCCATCAGTGCGTCCCTGGGTCGACGCACTCTTTTTCAGTTTATTTTCTACGCTATAGCCATAAAATTTTCTGCACAACTAACGCAAATCAACTAGCAAAGCAAAATTCTGCTAGACAAAACGTTGTTTTCAAAAGGTAAAAAGGGTAAGATAAAGTTAGTATCGGATGCGATAATATTGTTACGAAATAAACCCAGACGCCGCCCCGGTTCAACGCTTATGGGTTCCCGAGCTTTCTTTTACGGCGATAATGACGCATCGTGGATGACGTCACCCGGGCAGCCCTCAAATAAAGACAAGCCGCGAGCGGATTACCGGTTACCGGAAGTCTCGATGCGGCGTCCAAAAAACGCTCGAAGCGGCGTTCGCTAAAGAAAAGCCTGGAAGCGGGAGTTGCGATGGATTCCAGAAAGATCTCGGTTTGAAACATCGAGAAGGGAATATGAGTTTAAATGGAGGCCATCTTCGGGAAGTAGATTCATTCAGAAGAGTCTAGTCTACCGAGTGAACAAATTCATTCAAGTTGTACCAAGAAGTTAATTTGTACATAATCGCTGTAATAAGTAGTAGTGTAATTCGAGTTATTAAGAAATAAATTGCTGAGTTTTCCCACGCCAATTTCAATCACCCGTCCAAAGTAACAATATGAACAAAATGGCTCAACTCCTTCGAGGTGTTCGGATTTTTTGTGTTGAGAAAATTCATTGTGAAAAATTATTATTTGCTAATGGTATGAAAATCTTCATCGAAATAAAATCTATTCACTAGGTATATGTCGGGCACAAGGACCACGATAAGAGTATTATATTTGATAAACTAACAAAAGTTAAATTTAAAAATCTCACAACCAGTCACACTACACTACGTTCGGGAAGGAATATTCGGCGATTGTCTAGAGAATTCAGAAAATGCGTCCATATTTCATCACTTCATCGTCGAAAGTAAGTATCGGTCACTCCTAACTTTGAAAGCCTAGATATGGCCGAAACTACCGTCGTTAACTCCGTCACTCGGAGCAAATGGTTTAGTACGAAATTTTTGCAAATCTCTACAGCCACAACTGTAAACAATAATGTCTCGATTTACAACGTGATGCCGTGATAATTCGACAATTACGTCATAATCAAACCTGAAGTGGGGAAAAGAATGCACCATAAGCCTACCTGTTTGTTGTTCCATGTTTGCCCCTCCATGCCCACTATTCTATAATTGGTCGCTTCGAATTTTAAGGTTACGTACCGAAAAAAGCACCAAAGATTTTAATTTGTTTGGTGCGTCAAAGTTGTTCGTGGCTGAAGAAATATTTCATCGTTCCCGGTTTTAACTGTGCTCCAACGAGGTTTGGGTAAGAAACGTGCCAAAATCATTTTATATTGTGATAAAACGGTTTTAGGTGGTCAAAATGGCAAGTTTGGAATACTGTGAAGCAGCCGCAACAGATGGGAGATCTTATTCATGGGAAAACCTGCACAACTGTATACGATGCCCCTATTTTACAACATCTCTTTTTCTCATAACGAACCACGTAAGACGACACCATTCCTCTGTGGAAAAATTAACTTGCGACAACGCCAAAATTGAAGCGTATTACTGCAAAGACTGCGATTTTAAAACGGAACTAACAGTTTTATTCAAACAACACCTTGATAAATATCATGGCCTTAAAATGTCTACACACGATTTATCAAGTGAGGACTTCTGCATACAAAACTACGTTTGCGAAAAATGCGAATTTGAAACAAATTTCTCGTTAAAGTGGCTTCAGCATACTTCAACATGCACCGGAAACAAAGAAAATCTTCAAAGTGTGAGTTTTCTGAAACAAAATGCTACATACAGTTCTAATTTCAATCAAATTGGCGAAATACCTTGGTACTACTGCACGGAATGTTCCTACAAAACTAAATTCAAATATAACTTAAACCGTCATACCAAAAATCACGATTTGAAGAAACGGTGTACAGGCAACAATTCTCTAGTTTTAAAAAACCACTTGGATGAACAAATTGTTGGATGGCACAAGTGTGAAAAATGTCCATTTAAAACTGCAACAAAAAGTAATTTAATCAGGCATACAAATACCTTACACTTGAACGACGAAGACATTAAATGGTACCAATGCAATGAGTGTCCTTTCAAAACAAAGTATCAAACAAATTTAAAGATCCATGTAACTGCAAAACATGTAGAGGACGAAAAAAATAAGTGGTACGAATGCGAAAATTGTCCATACAGAAGTAAACGAGAGTTGAATTTGAAACGTCATATAAATGTGCGACATTTAGATGAAGAAAGTGTTAGATGGTATGAATGTGCGGAGTGTTCATACAAAAGTAAAACGAAATTTCAGTTAACGAATCATATAAACAACCACCATTTGGATGACTCTGAAGCTAAATGGTACAACTGCGAACACTGTTCTTACAAAACTAAAATTAGACAGTCTTTGTACAAACACAGAAAAAAACATATGTCGAATTTAGTTGATGTTTAATTGGGTGTGCTGCTATTATGTTGAATGTAAATATATAAGTGTATTTTTTGTTTAACTAGTAGTTTTTTTTAACATGAAGATTATGAATTTAAAATAATGAATATGGTATTTTTTTACATTACATACAGTGAATAAATACAATGCTTTAAAAAAATAAAAATACATGTCGTCTGAAGTCTCAATAGTTAAAACATCACTCGCCTTACTATAGGCTATACCTCAATCCTTCGCAGATAAACATTCACATGAATAATGGTGACGAGCAAAAAACTCCCAATCTGGGAGCGAACCTGTACTCCGCTTCCGCCACGTGCTCCGGTACTTTCATTTCGATTAAAATTCAGATTTTCTGAATTTCTTGAATTTAAAACAATAACTGAGTGAACACTAGAATCACAATGAATGAAACAAGTTTAATTACGCCACACTCTTTCGAAAATTTTAAATAACAAGAATATACATGATGTTAAATCGTGCATTAATTCAAGTTATTGATTAAACTAAAATGAGTTCATTAAGATTACATCGTAGACCGAATCCCCACATTACATGAAACAAAACATATTTGAAATAAATACAGTACGTATATATTAAATACGGCCAGAACAACGTAGTCTCAGAAATGCGTCGCTCTGGAGTGCCTTCTTCAAGAATAAATCTTCAGATTCAGGTTGTAAGAAAATATAAAAATAACACATAAATGTAATACAAAATAAACATAAACATACCCCTCCAGTTATGACCTTCATTGTTCTTTTTCCGAAAATGGATTAATTTTTAAAATTAACTCAATGATGCTGATGAACTATGTATGAGTAGGTGAATTCCTTTCTTTTCATTTTTGTTTAAACAGCTGCTTTGGTTTGGTAAATTAGTTAATTAGATTACGCTCAGGAAGTAAAAATACTATATGCGTAATATTTTGCACATTTCAGATCGGATGTATCCAGTAAAATTTTGAGATGACGTCTTTAAGTTATAGGGAGATGAATAGATAAATTCTGATTAAAGATTTCCTATGCTTTTGCAATGTCTGACTTAAATTATAAAATAATGTTACCTTTACCATTTTGATCCAAAAAACTTGATATCCAAAATCAAGGTGAATTCATAAACTACAGGTATAGAAGTATGTATGACTTAATATGCTAATAGTATTATTTAATAACGGAAGACAAAACTTGAAATTAAATGAACAAAAGGAACAAATAATAGACAATTACATAATGGATTTAAGCTAGCGCTGATTTATACACATTACGTGCCATCAGTTTTCTCAGTTGGTACGATAATACATTATTTCGTTGTAGAGTGAATTGCTCTCTGAAAATGAAAGCAGTTGACTATTAACCATCTATTAGCTACGTAAGCATATAAAGGATTATAATAATTAACAAATCATTAACTTTCATTAAATTTTTCCAACTATGTTTTTACACTCTTGGTACCGCTGTAGATGGACTCCTGTGAGTACACGATTTCTGCAGCCATAACCACCAAACATGTGAATGACAGCAAAGTCGTCGCAGTCGATTTTACGGTCTCCAGTACAGTCCTGTCAAAATAATACAATTACAAGATTTTCTAACACTAGTTTTAAATTTTACCTGTTGAAATTTGCTCATGTATCCTTGTACTGACAGAGATGAACAGTAAAGGTCACGCGCACAATTAGCATAAGCGGTATTACTTTGAATCGACTCATTTTTGAGAGTGGGTTTGCCAGAATCGGCCCAGTATGCCCACGTTATTCTAAAAGGACCACAGCCCTCCCCTTCACAATTAGTATTGACTTCGCAGCCCGACATTGCTTCGCAAATGCAGCCTAGGCATTGCTGATTTACGGGCAGATTCTGCTGGGCAGTTACTACAAAAATAAAATTATTCAAAACTGTTCACCTTAAGGTTACTACAAGTAATATCAAAGTGCTTACCGGTGAAGCAAAAAATGAAGATAGGTAAGAATACACTACCGAGTGTTGTCATAATGATGGTCTTCACTTGTTTAGTTTCTGTACTGCAGTGTTATTCTGTATGCAATTAAGTGAATCTTTTATTCATTACCTTGACCTAATGCAAATGTTATCACGAATGTTTTTTCAATATATTCTTCGGAAATCTGTGGTGAGAAGATTTATTGTAATAATATCTGCCGGGTTATTATTTGTCCTTGCGGATGTAATACATAGATAATAGTGTTCAGATAAACTTTGGACTGGTCTGGATCAGTGATGAAATAAATAAACAAAATTCTCTGAAAACAAAAGCTTTCTTAGTATCTTAATAAATCGTCTAAATTATTGGTATCCACACATTTTTGTAAGATGAGTCCATGTAAAAGTAAATTTAAATTATTTGCGCATCATAACCCATTACTAAATAAAAATAAATATTATGAAAATATAATACTCCTATATATAAATATGTACATATAAACAAAACAAGTCAAATTTCTCGCAACAGTTCAAGTCGAATTATTAAATATTTTGAAAATTATAGCATATTTTTCTTGATTTTCTTGATGTTGGTAGTGTAAATTGGACATCCGACATTGCATCTATTCGATGATTCCATAGAACAACTTGTGACTAACTCATAAGATAGTTGGGGAAATTTAAAATGGAAAATCTGACTTTAAATAGCGCATGCTAATTACCTTTGTATCCTGTAGCTGATCACTGTCGTTGCGCCCTGACCCTTTGTTTGTTAGATCATAAAGTCGCTGCGATCGACACCGCTTGCGTGAAAGTTTTGTCGTTATTTATATTTTCCCTCATCTTCAAACATGAGTGCTGTGAACTGTTCCTGTTGTGGTACTTCTGCCCACAAATCTTTATACTGGTCTGTCTGTGATAAACCTTTTAAACTTGAGTGTGTAGGTATTTCAAGTGCCGAAGCCAGGCAAATTCACCTCAAATCTGGTCTTACTTGGAGTTGTAAACAATGTATTCAAGTTGGTGCATATCATTACTTGGTCTTAGTACCCGTAATGATAGAAGTCTTGCCTGAATGCCGGTCATTTCCGGGTCAGTGGTGGGTCTTAAAAATAACTCGAAATCCGACTAACACCTATTACTTACTGCAGTCTCCGAAGAGGTCGATGGAGCAAGTAGCATCACCTCGGGAAATACTACCACAAGGACAATTAACAGCGTATTAGTCTCTAATGTTTCTCAGACAAATCAGCCTCAGACCATTAGAAGACGAGAAGAACCGAAAAAGCGTAAAAAATGGTCTCTAGACATGAATTTACATATTATGCGCTTATATTATAAAATTACAAACAATGAAACTGATGTAAGTAATTATCGCACAGCTCTACACGAAGCCTTCAGCCGTGAGTACCCAAATTTTCCAGTTACCATTCCAAATTTAGCAGATCAACGTAGAGCTATAGTTAAAAATAACTACATACCTCAACTTACTCTAGAACAATTAAAAAACGAACTTTCTAAAACCATTAATCCACTTCCTGAAGATATCAACAACACAGCACCAAATACATTACTGACTGACACATCTGCCACCAATTTGTCAAAAACAACATCTCAAAATAAGATCCCAATTATACCACAAAATAGTAACAGTAGTCTATCAAATACACCAAAGACACGAACTGACACATTTACTAAAGATTTATTAAACAAAACACTTCAAAATAAGATCACAACCATAACACAAATTACCAAGACATTATCAAAGAGATCCCAGACATTAACTGACAAATCACTTAACAATTTATCAAGAACAATCCAAAACCAAATTAACATCACAGATAATCTACAAAACACGTACTACAACACCGAAGACACATTAATCAAAAGTGTAAACAACAATTTTAAATTTCACATTAATTTCCAAAATGAAATTGAAGACCAATTTAAATTAACTTTCGAAACATGTTCTAAATTAAAACCAAATGATAGAGATTCACTTCCCCGCCAGTGTTATTCTAAAAAGTTTCTGGCAATTGTAGAAATAATGAACTCCTTCATTTTACCAAAATATCTCACAAACTCGATCTCTTTTGAAAAACTTCATACAATTATCTACTGTGCAGTTTAGCTTGTATTCAAATTAACACATGTAAAGATAACATAATAAATGCAAACACCAATGATATACCCTCCACCCCCCATTGGGAAACACGGTTAAATTATAAAATTAATAACATTATAAAACAACTAGGTCAAATAACACAGTACCTTAGAGGAGTTAAAACACTACATATCATGACATGTATGCATTCGATACTGACCAACAATAATTTTCATCAAACTGATTACGATGAGTACAACACAACACTATCCCAAATTAAAGATACCCTATTACAAAAGCTTTCCTTATATACTTAGCAAAAGACTTAAAAGATACAAACAATCACATCTCAGAAAAATTCATAACACTAAATTTTTAAACAACGAAAAACTATTCTATCAACATTTAACTAATTCAAACAAAACTCAATTATCCGGTGAACTTCCAAGTTCACAGGATGTAACAACATTTTGGTCAAAACTTTGGTCTCAAGAATTTGAATTTAACCAATCTGCCAAATGGATTCCCATAAACTATCCACAGTTACACCAATGAATGATCATCAGACAACACTTGCCGAATTAATAAATACCATCAATAACAATAAGACACACAACTGGAAATTACCAGGACCAGACAAAATCCATAATTTTTGGATAAAAAAATTAAATTTGTGTAAATATTCATTTACTACATCACTTAAATCAGTTTCTTCTTGACCCATCCTCCTTTCCAACATTCTTATGTCATGGTGCAACATACCTAAAACCTAAAGATAACGACACAAAAAATCCATCAAAATACAGACCTATCACATGTTTACCGACAATCTATAAAATATTAACCTCATGCATTACACAAAAAATCTATCAACACTGTTTTAACTCTGACATCATTAATGAAGAACAGAAAGGATGTATTAAAGGATCCTTTGGTTACAAAGAACAATTAATCATAGATTCCATCATCTGTGAACAAGCTAGAAAAGAAAACCGAAACATATATCCTGCTTTTATTGATTATAAGAAAGCTTACGATTCTGTCCCTCATTCCTGGCTATGCAAAATTCTTGAATTATACAAAATTGATGCTAAAATCTGCACTTTTCTCAAATGTTCCATGGAATTTTGGTGGACCACCCTCCAAATAACCTTAAATGAACAAACAATTCAGTCAGATCCAATAATGATCCGAAGAGGAATTTTTCAAGGCGATTCTCTTTGCCCGTTATGGTTCTGCTTAGCAATAAATCCCCTCTCCGATATCCTGAACAGCTGCAATTATGGGTTCAATATAAGAATTAACAAACAAAGAGAAAACAGAATAACTGACTTGTTATAAGTATATGGATCACATAAAAATATATGCAAGTACACAAAATCAGTTAACAAACCTATTAAATCTGACTGAACAGTTTTCCGGTGATATTGGTATGTATTTTGGTATTGAGAAATGTAAGACCCAAGCAATCAGAAAAGGCGACCAACACCAAATACCACATATAACCCAGAATAACGAAATAATCGAAGCCCAAGAACGAAATGATACATACAAATATCTGGGTTTCTGCCAATCCTCCCACATCTATCATATCAAAACAAAAACATAGTTGAAAGAACCTAGCGAGATTAAAATTAATATTGAAGACACAGTTAAATGGAAAAAATTTAATGAAAGCAGTGAATACATTCTGCGTTCCACTGCTAACATATTCTTTTGGAGTCATTAAATGGTCCAAAACTGATCTTGAAAATTTAAACATCGCAACAAGGAAAATTTTCACACAGTATAGAAGACATCATCCAAAATCGTCCATTGAAAGATTTTCATTACCAAGACAGAATGGAGGAAGGGGTTTCCAGAACCTAGAAAACTTATATCAGAGACAAATCTCAGATCTGAAAAAGTATTTCTTGAAACGAGCAGAAAGAAATGAAATGTATCGCACCATCATAAAGGCAGATTTGAACCACACACCCTGAAATCTGTCGAACACCGAAGAAATCCACACCCCCCACACAATAGACAAAATAATAAGTGGGTTAAAACAAAAAAAACTACATGGAAAATTCTACAAAGACTTAGAAGAAACACATGTCAACAAGAAGATGTCATTGATTTGGTTAAAAAAAATCAAGTTTGTATGCCGAAACAGAAGGATTTGTGTTTGCTATTCAAGACCAAGTAATCAATACCAAGAATTACAGAAAATACATCATCAAAGATCCGAATATAAGAAACGACTCCTGTCGCCTCTGCAAAGCAAAACCTGAAACGATCCAGCACATAATCTCCTCCTGCAGCATCCTGGCACAAACTGACTACAAAGCTAAACACGACAACGCAGCCAAAATCATTCACAAAGAATTAGCAACACTTATGAACTTAATCGAAGATACGACACCCTATTACACTTACATTCCATCTCCGTTCCTTGAAAATAATAAATACAAATTATACTAAGATCGCACAATACTTACAGACTTAAACATTACAGCTAACAGACCAGACATCATCAAAAAACACACGAACGAAGCCATTCTCGTTGACATTGCTATTCCTACACAAACAACATTATTCAAACATACCACACCAAGATTTCAAAATATCTACAATTATCGATAGAAATGAAATCCATGTTAAATCTTAAAAAAAATTCAATTCTACCCCTAGTTATCTCTAATGTAGGTGTAGTTCCAAATAGCTTAGTTGAGAATTTAAAGTCTTTGCATTTGAATGATTCAATAATTGTCAAAATTCAAAACGCTGTTTTGTTAGGAACATGTCATATTGTTCGTAAGTTTCTCGAACAGTCTGATCATGTCAGTCAGATTAGATTAGCACCAGTAGGTCAGAGTAGTGTAGGTCACTTTCCAAGTGATGCGCGGATAAATGATTGGTAGTTACGCTAGACTTTTGGGGATGGGGTGAGATTAGAGAATAATAGCAGACTAATTTGTATGCTGTAATTCTAGAATCTCGAAAGTTGTTTTCTTAATCTAATCAAT